CTGTCAGAGGGAACAGCTGTCCATGTAGGTCAGTGACTCTCAAACCCTGTCAGAGGGAACAACTGCACAGCCACACATATTATACTCTTTTAAAGGATCCATGGCTTGTTTCTGGTCCACCATCTACACTGTAACAATTTTTTAAAAAGATTATCATTTATCCGTCCTTAACAATTCCCAGCATGCACTGTGGCCACCCAGGGTCAGTTTGAGAACACCTGACATGATCATGGACTGACAGGGGTGTGGGCGTGGCTTGTCTGGCATGAGGGTGGGGCTTTAACGTAAGCATCCCTAAAGCCCACGGCATCTGTTGCTGCAGGACCTGGTGAAGACCCACCTGATGATGGCTGTGCGGGAGGAGGTGGAGGTGCTGAGGGAGCAGATCAAGGAGCTGACGGAACGCAACGCGCAGCTGGAGAGGGAGAACTATATCCTCCGGGCCCTTCAGGAGCGAGACTGAGGGAGCCGGGACAGCAGGAGAGCGAGGGAAGCCTTTGGCCCCTAGACCCCGGGGAGAAGGAGGGGGAGAGACAGAGAGAGCACGTTCCAGAAACGTCGGCAATGCGTCCGGCTGATTGTACGATTACCCGATTGGTTAGTCTTCTAGAGGATCATGGGAAACTGAAACGCCAAGTCAGCCGAGATGCAGTGAGCTACAGAGGGAGAAATAAACAAGAAAGGAGATGAATGGAGGATGGACTACAAGAGCAGGAGGTGGGAAGTGTGGATGATCATGGAGGATGGGGAAGGGGAGCCATCTGACTGGCAGCCTTGAGTGCCAAGACCCCTGCAGTGGGGTACCCCTCTGTATCCCACACACACACACACACACACACACACAGAGGTACACATGTAATTACACTATCAAACATAATGTGCATGTTCACAAGTGAAAATGCACACCAGGAGCGTCAATAGAGATTTATGGAAAGCCTTTCCATTTTAAAGAAAATGAAAGAGGACACACAAATAAAATAGTGTGCATTTATTTTGAGGAGACTGAAGAACATTTTAGGGGGGGCTAAAGCCCTCCTAAAACAGCCCCAGCCGACACATAGCAGCACGGGGGGCTACTAAAAACTCAGTGGAATACATGGGTACAAACGTGTAGTGACACACAGGTACACGAGCGCAGATGCCTGTAACACACTAACACACAAACTCTGTATCTCGAAGGAAGCGTTCAGTTCTAATCATACGGAGTGAAATATGAAGCATCTTTAATAACTTTTAATGATGATTAACGCAGGTGGTGTTGATGATAATGGTAAGAATTCTTTGCAGTGTAAAAATTTAAGCTGCTTTTTTGGCTAATTTATTGGTCTCCTGCTAGGAGAGAAGGAGCCTGGTTGGGTTTTGTTTGTGGCTTTTCTGCTTTTATTGCATGTTGAGGTCTTTGGTTTTGCATACTAGCTATTTTACTGCACCTTTTTAGCCATCAATTAAACTTAAAAGGAAGGGCTATTTTTTCGTTACTGAGGCACATGTTGGGACGCTAGTCGAGGCCCAGAGGGACCCCAATGTCCCCCCCCCCCCACTATAGTCACTGTATTTTCACCAACCTGACTTTAGCGACCTGAAGAGACGTCTGTCTGCCCTCGAAAAGCCTCCTGTTATTTACACCACATTTTAATTTCACATTTATTTAAAATCTTATCATGCTGTGGAACCATCAAGATTCCGGTCAGCTGAGTCTTTACTGGAGATATTTAAAATTTTGTCTACAATCCCATAAATCTGTGACATGGTTTGTTTTTGCTTTTTTAACCACCTGCCTGGGAAATTGAATGTGTAATAATACACTGTGCCAGGCAGTGATTGATTACATTGTGCCAAAGCTGTTTTTTTTCCTTCTGAATACAGATATTAAAGGGGATGAGTGGAAATATTGTGTTTTTGTGGTCTTAACATGTCGGCTTATTTGCCTGAGGTGGTGGACGGACTCACTCCTCTGAGGTTAGATTCCACTAGAACGGGCCGGTCCCATGACGGAACCGGGAACCAGCCTGGGTTGATATATACATGAGGCGAAGACTGTTGCTTTATCGAGGGACCTGCAGACCCCTGACTGTTACTGTCAAGACCCAGGGAGTTTTGTGGAGACTATCTTGAACACCATAACAGGTTTCCTTACAAAACACATGCACACCAAGATAATTAACTCTAGTGGTACAAGTCCAGTAGTTGCATGATTTCCTCAGCAGGGGCATCATACTTGATTTAAAAGCAGCTCCAGCAATCTGCTCATTCATTTTTGTTTTATTGTGAAAGGGGCTTAAAGATTCTCTGAGACTGTTACATCAGAGGGTGTTTTTAATTCTTTTCTAGGATATTAGTATTTTAAAAACATCCTTTTCTAAAATGGGGTACAAAGTATTAATTGTTTGTAACTGTACAAATTGCAAAAGGAAAAATAGGGTCTAATAAATAACTTTTACTAAATGTTCTTTCCTGTCCTTCTTCTGGGCCCAGCAAATGCATTATGAAACAGTGATTTCTCCAGGGAGGTGATCCACAAAGCAGGATTTTCTAGTTAACTAACATAAGAGTTTAGGTAAGGAGCATTCCTAATGGACAATCATGACTTCTAGCTTAAGTTTAACCAGCTAACAGAAATCCTGCTTCATGGAACACCCCCCCAGATCTACATACACCACTGTTTGCCTTTTCATGCTGTGTTGATGTGTGTAAGGATTTTTTGCTATGACACAGTAGGCCATTAAGAAATGTTGTACATGTAATCAATACACCACTAGCACACACTATAATTTCATTACACGCCACACATCATGCTAGTTTCATCCCGCGGTCCAAAGAAACACAAGTAAGGCGAATTGACGGGTGATTTTGTGTCGCAGCGATTTCAGAAGAAGGAGAAAGCATCGTTTTTTCCCCACCGAAGGTTTTAGCAACATTTGAAACAGTTCCCTGCTTTGACCTCGTCAAGCTTTAGAAGCCGCATTTATACAAACTTAACAACCTGTGTAAATGTTACAGGATATTTGGGGAGATATATAAGATGGAGCTGTGCTACCTAATGCAATGATATGAGCGGAGATCTAATAAGGCACTTACTGCACTACAGTCTTCTCCTGTAGTGCCGCATTACGCCGACCAGACAGCCAGGTTTTGCTGCGGCCGCTTACATCACGCAGCGCCGCGCTTTTCCTGCTTAGACCGGCTGATGCATGCAGATCCTCAGAAGCCCCGAACTACATTTTCCTCACGACTATTCTGTGCTAAATGTGACGGGAAAACTACAACTCCAGCGATGCAACAGGGACTGGGAGCCCGGCGTTTCCGCTGTCAGCTGTCATCCGCGCATTTCTAGCGGCGGTCCTGCGTGATTCAGGAGAGCGACGCAGAAACGCGTGGAGAAGCGGCACCTGCACCTCACCGGAGCACAAAGCAAATAAAGCACAAAAAGCAATTGCTTCGAAGCCTTTGCAGCCCAGTGAACCAGTTCTTTTTCGTACCAAGATATATCTACTAAGAGCCCACGAAAGAGGAGATGATATGTTGACCCAGACCCGGGTAAATATATCGGCATCTTGCATGCAAGACGGGTACCTTAATGGGCTATATGAATGTAGCATCACAATTTATGCGTTTTGTTCACGATTCCAAATAAAAAATGGCGTCAAAGGGGGTTAATTCTGCTGCAATGTACATGTATTATAACCTGCTGTGTCAACATATGTGTTGCATACCCTAAAAAGCGTTTAATTTGCTCGCGGTATTTTTTTTACTTATTAACTGAACCCATAATTTATAATGAAAATAAGATAAAGAAAAATTAAAACGATATTAAATAATCAATCAACCAGTTCCTAATAGATAGAGGTGTGTTTTCTAGTAATATTGTAGCCTAATTATTGGCATAGCGGACCATTATAATAATATTACATTTTAATGACTGACTTTTTCGTAATTTGGCCTATAACATTATAAAAGTTTGATTTAACAGTTAATTCATATGTTCGTTATTTCTTATTTAGGAGTGTTTGTCTGTGACTTCCCATGTGTACGGAAAATACTACATATGATTAAGAATTATGTTAGTTGCGTAACGTTAGTCAAGTTATCAATGTTATTTAATTCACAACTCGCATTTGTCAATGTTAAACGGTGCAACCCACGGAATCCCGAAGCTGTTAAGTTTGACCTGTGAGTAGTTAGGCAGACCTAAGGTGGCTCAGTGACATTTTCATCATGTCGCAAAACCCATGAAATCTGGTCACATTTTGGTCACTCAGAGCGCTGATATGTATGTTTTCTGTAGGGAGCTTTATGACCTATGCCCTTGTTGAATTGGCTCTTAAGAGGCGAACAGTGAGATGTGGTAATTGGTGTGTAATTGGTAGAAGGAGAGTACTAATGGAATAGGGGAAATGTGCTTTCCAAGGGGGCATGTGATGCGTGTTTGTATGTGTGTATGGCTGAGAAGTGATCTATGTGGTCATTTTATTGTGACACTATAGTTAGCTTAGCAACTAGCTCACCCTCTACCAGTGTTCACAGGCAGAAAATGGGGCCAGAGGTTGGTTGTGGTGCTTCAAACATAAGAAACCCGCTTCTGTCCTTGTAGACACATACATTTTAACACACACAGGTGCATTGTGGGAACAGCCTGGGGGAGTGTGTGACCTCATGCAGTTTGATTCGTCCTCTTAAATCGGTCAACGCCTACTGGCATGTAATCGTCGTGCTGGTCGATGAGGATGATGCAGAGTGACAGGACAGGATGTGGGTCTTTGGGGCAGCCATTGTCCAGGACAGCTGCTTCCGGAAGGCCCCTTGTGGCCAGGCTGTGTGATTTCAGATTGCTGAGCTGTCCAGCTGAACTCAGCAATGCCCCCGACAGTCAATGCGGGTTCCGGTGCCTCAGCATCTGGCGTCTACTGCAAACTCTCCAGCATGTCTGAACCCTCGTCAGCGGTAACGGGCCTGTTTGTCTGTGTGATGTCTCACTTCCTGTGATCCTCCCATGGGCACCTACTCAAACCAGCTCGGTGCTCTGTGTCACTCAAATGCTCCGTCATTCCCATCCCAGGACCCATAGCTCTGGCACAGACTCATCACCACACTTAAACAGGCTGAAATAGCCACAGCCTATATGCTCTGCCAAAGTCAATGAGCATGTAGTCTACACTGTTATTTGACTGATGTCCACAGAGCTGTAGATTTGGGGGCGATTTTGGATTTTTTTTATGGTGGACGGGCATAAGAGGGGCAATAATTCATACTGATGGGTCAGCCTTATCATTAGCCAATGATATGTTTGAAATTGGTGTGTGACAGGGAAAGGAGAACTCTGGGAGCCAATCAGCTTTCAGCTAGGGTCAGTGCCAATGTTGCCCTGCCCTTGTATAGATTGCTGGGAGGGAGCAAAAACAGGGACCAGCTGTCGCCCCTGAGGACCAAATTGGGAAATACTGGTCTAATCAACATTGACAGTCTCCTCGCTGATATCAGTCTTTCTCTGGCTTGATCGATGCACAGACTGGCTATTTCAAAACATTATCCATGTCCCCCACAAATCTTGATGACCTCACAGTGTCAGGTGACAGAGCATATAGACGAGATCTTACGAGGTCATTAGCCAATCACACCTCTTGCATCAGCATTGTCCCGGGCAAGTTTAAAGTTTTTCATTGTCACGTGTGTTCTGAGGAACACCGTGAATGCCATTGTTGCAGGGGATGCTGAATATTAGAGAGAGCGAGAGAGGGAGAAAGAACGAATGTACAATGGTGTGCCTCTTGATCCATCACTGTTGCCTTCAAAGTGGTTTCTGGAAATGTATCTGCTGATTGTTTTACGTTCGAGCCCTGAACCCACATGTCCATCTGCCTCTCTCTGCAGCTGCTGCTCAGACTGACCCATCCTAGCAGGGTTTGGACTGTGGATCCAGGCCCGATCAGCTGACATTGTAGTGCACACCGTGGTAAGTCTCTGTGCCTCTTCATCCTATTTTCCTCTCTTTTAGTCGTCTGCCTGCCTCTGTCTTCCTCTCAGCGGTCAGACACACCACCATCTAGTAGCATAACAATATGCTGCTGTTATTATAGGTTTACCTTGAGGCGTTTTCCACATACACAACAATGTACAGAAAAATAATCAGAATAATGAAAACAAAGTGACTTTGACTGATTCTCATTTTGATTCCAGTAGTGTCTACATCAGCATCAATTTAGCATCACATTACTACACAACTTAACCTTTAATTTAAATATCATACAAATTAACCCTGTGCTCTGAAAATGTTTCTAAAGCCGCATAAGAACTATACAAACGAGAGGAGGCCATTCGGCCCATCGAGCTCGCTTGGGGAGAACTTAACTAATAGCTCAGAGTTGTTTTAGATATGGTGACAAAACCTGCACACAATATTCTAGGTGTATTGTAGGAATTGTATAATCTTAGCATTACCTCCCTTGACTTAAACTCCACACACCTGGAGATATACCCCAACATCCTGTTGGCCTTTTTTATTGCTTCCCCGCACTGGCGAGAATGAGACATGGAAGCATCAACATACACACCAAGGTCTTTCTCATAATCAGCTACCTTTATTTCAGTTGGTCCCATAAAATACCTGTACTTTATATTTCTGCTCCCTACATGGAGTACCTTACATTTGTCTGTTAAATTTCATCTGCCAGGTGTCAGCCCAGTCACTAATTAAATCAAGATCCCGCTGTAGCTGCTGATCCGCTAGTTCAGTATCTGCTACACCACCCACCTTGGTGTCATCTGCAAATTTCACCAGTTTACTGTATATATTGGTGTCTATATCATTTATGTAAATTAGGAACAATAGTGGTCCTAAAATTTAACCCTGCGGTACTCCACTATGAACGCAGGCCCACTGTGACATTGTGCCTCTAATATCTACTCGCTGCTTCCTATCTGTTAACCAGTTATCAATCCAGGTCGCTACAGTTCCTAAAATACCTGTCGCTTTAAGTTTAAGTAAGAGCCTCTTGTGGGGGACAACATCAAAAGCCTTTTGGAAATCTAAGTAGATGACATCATAGGCCTTCTTATCATCAACTTTCTGAGTAGCTTCCTCAAAAAACTCCAACAGATTTGTTAAACAGGATCTACCTCTCCTAAATCCATGTTGGCTATCCCTCAAAATTTTATTTGAGTCCAGGTAATCTACCATTTTCTCTTTGATTATAGCCTTCATACTTTTACCAGTTATACAAGTTAGACTGATTGGCCTATAGTTTGACAAATTACTTCTATCCCCTTTTTTGAAAATGGGCGTTATGTTGGCATGCTTCCAATCATAAGGTACCATATTGCCATATATTCATATTGCTCTACAGAGCCTAAATCCAACATCAATGATATGATGACGGTTTCCATACTTTGTAGTGTCTGTGAGAGGCTCATTCAGATGCTACTTTACCTTTATCTTACTAGAATGTCCTTCTGCCAGAAGATCTTTTTTCTGCCGGGTGCCAGGGTGAGCTAAAGGCGCTTAAAGGAGCAGATTTCTCGTGATAGTCTAGGTCACTCTGGGTCAGTGGACACGTGCCCAAAGTGCCCTTGAGTGACAGCACCTCCTGTTTCCCTAAGGGCTGTGGAGCTGGAATAGGAGGGAGGTACACCGCAAAGAGAGGTGGAGAGAATGGAGAAGGAGCGGTGGAGGGAGATGGAGAAGGTGGGCTTCCAGCTGGTGAACCGCGGGGAGGAAGAGGAGATGGTGAGCACCACGCTCGCTCTCCATCCTTCTTCCATCATGTTATCTGTCCTAATTTCTCCTCACAATCAGCCAAATCCTTTTCCACCCCTTATGGGGATTTTTTTATATCCATTTGTTAGTAATATGTTAACTAACAATAATAGCAACAAACCACAACCCTCAAATGGTAATAATGAAAGATAATAAAATGTATGAATAGCATAGCGTCCATCGCCTGCACATTTTGGAATTTTTGCTGAATATAGTATGTCAACTGGGTACAGTTACTACTGTCTCATCTATACTGAGGATTCCAAGATACTGCTCACTTTGGCATACTATATTTCACTTATTACATTGTAAACAAATATGCAATTTCGGACATACCCACTGTCTCTGGCCCTGAGCTGTACGCTCTGTGGTACTGATCTTCGCCCCCTTTACAGGAGGTGTGTGGCTTCGTCCCCAGTCCCTGGAGGATCTGTCTGCTCGTCCTGGGCTGTGTGCTGTCGGGGGGCCTCCTGGCCCTGCTGCTGCTCTGGGTCCCCCAGTGGAGCGTCCGTTGGGCCTGTGTGCCTGCCCCCCTCCCCCAGGCATCTGTGCTGCTGCTACGCACTACTGTGAGTGTCCTGGGAGCAGCATTTTTCTAGTTATTACATTGCGGGGGCCAGATTTCCCTACCATGTGATGAACACCTTTTACTTCTTACCTTGTGGGGATATTTTTCAGTCCCCACAAGGATAAACCTCAGTTTTATAAAAAGCTGTGAATGCAATCAAAGAACTAAAAATGCCAGAATTCCCCCACAGAGACATAATTACAAAACCTGTGTGTGTGTGCGTGTGTGTGTGTGTGTGTACGTGTGTGTGTGTGCGCGCATGTGTGTGTGTGTGTGTGCACGCATGCACGCATGCATGCATTTCTGTCTCTGCTTTTCTGGATGCACCTGTCTGACAGTAAAGTTCTGTGTGTGTTTTACTGTCCCTGTCTTTCTCTGTGTATCTGTGCATGTTTGGGCACCATTAGTTATTTGTGGGTACAGATTTTGGTATCTTGAAAAGGTATCATTAAAAAACTAAAAGTTCCACCTTTTTGGTGATTTGGGATTAAGCTCAATTAATTAACATCAAATTTTCCTAGTACAATTTGATGTGTGCTGACAGACCCTTAGTAAAGCTAGGCTAGGTGCTGCTGAATAAAAACTAGTGTGGATGGTGTTATAATTTTTCATTCATCCATATTCTAGCTGCATATTCTGGTCATGGTCACATGGGGGAGCCTCTTTCAGGATGCAAATGGCACAGGGTAGGGGCACGACAGAAATCCACTCCGTCGCAGGGTACATACACACACAATCATACATTATGGGCAATTTAGTTAGCCTAACTGCATGTCTAGCATGCAGTTTGCAACGTCTCACGTCAAACGGATATCCTCTCACAGCCAGAAGACTTTGAGTTACGCTAATCACTAATCTATAAATTGCTCATAATGTATTTGTGTATGTGCTCTGGAAATCCAAGACTGCATCCCGTCAAGGGAGGTAATTATCATAGCTAATTGCATACTGTCACCTCCCTTATGCCTGGAATAGTCTCCAGGCTCCCCACAACCCTGTCCAGGGAAAGTGGTTAGAATATAGATGGATGGATGGATGGATGGATGGATGGATGGAGGGAGGTAGGGATGGATGGATGAATGGATGGAGGTAGGGATGGATGGATGGACAGAGGGGCTGACTTTATTATAATACTTGCTTCATTTAAGATGGCAAACAGATTAATGGGATGTGCTTCATTATAACTCTTAGGGTCCCCCAGACTGGGACTGTGATACAAACACCAAGGGCAGACATGCATAACAGACCAGGGAAATACGAGAACCTTAATGAAGCAACTGGCCCCTCATTTTAGTGGAAAAAACAGTTTTGTATAATTAATAATCATTGACGGATTGCAGGTGAAAGCAGGGGCTGGTCTGACCCCCCGCCCCCCCATCTCATATTAATTACCTTTTAGCAGTTTCTAGCTAGTTAGATAATAAAACATTTTATATCTATTGCTCTAAGCGAATAAATAATGTCTTATTCACCTAGGATGAGTTTGGGCGGTACTTCCGGGTCCGGATCAAAACTCTGCAGATTCCCCATATGGACCCTCCGGGAATGGGCGTGGCCAGTGAGGGAGCTGGGGGCGTGGCCAGAGATGGAGCTGGGGGCGTGGCCAGAGAACAGGCGATCACAGAGGACTGCGGCAAGGGGCCACAGGAGCATGCACTCTATTGGGAGGTACTGTCTTTGAGGACACACGCACACACACACACACACACGCGCGCACACTCACTCCCGGGGTGCTCACATGCATTCGATCACAGCAGGCAGCGCTGTGCTATGTAACTCCCTGCCTCTGCCTCCCCAGGTACGATGCTTTCACCTGCAGTCTGTCACATACATGTGGAACTCGGAGGCCCGCAGTTACCAGCCGCTAGACACCCTGGACCATGGCATCCCCATCGCAAACTTCTACTCCCTGCACAGCCGTGGGCTGTCAGCCAGCAGGCAGGAGAACAGGTGGGCACACGTGCCTCTGCGTGTGTCACGTAACACACGTTATTCTGCATGTGTCATGCGTGTTACTCTGCATGGGTTACCATGGGTCTGATGCATATCCTAGGCAACACAGTACATAAGCCAGAGACGCCCTGACTGGAATGCCAGTCGCTCACGGAGCACATAGACACACTATCTATCCATCCATCCATCCAGCCATCTTTTAATTATTTATCCAGTAAATGGTTGCAGAAGGGTTGGTGGTGGGGGAGAGGGGGGGTGTGGCCTAGGGGAACAGGGCACTCACACGCAATCACACATACTCACACACCACAGGCAGTTTCAGCCAATCAAACACCATCTTCCTTTGCGGACCCATAGAGCCCCTTTCTCCTCTCTCCCTATGTCAGTCTCTCCACTTCTCTTCATTTATATCCCTCTCTTTTCCTTTTAGGAGGCTGTTCTATGGCATCAACCAGATTGAAGTAAAAGTGCCTTCGGTTCCCAATCTGCTTGTCAAGGAGGTTGAGTATCTGCATGCCCAAGGTCCTCCCAGACAGCAGGAGGTGCTGGTGGTCATGTAAGCTCTTGGCATTTCCATCTGCACTCACACTTACACAGCTTTCTTTTCTCTCGCTGTTGCAGGTGCTCAACCCTTTCTATATTTTCCAAGTATTCAGCGTTATTCTCTGGTCTCTGGATGATTACTATTACTACGCCTCAGCCATCTTTCTGATGTCACTGCTGTCTGTCTGTACCTCACTGTATACTGTCCGTAAGGTTAGTCTGTCTGTACCTCACTGTATACTGTCTGTAAGGTTAGTCAGTCTGTACTTCACTGTATACTGTCCGTAAGGTTAGTCTGTCTGTACCTCGCTGTATACTGTCCGTAAGGTTAGTCTGTCTGTACCTCGCTGTATACTGTCTCTAAGGTTAGTCTGTCTATACCTCGCTGTATACTGTCTGTAAGGTTAGTCTGTCTGTACCTCGCTGTATACTGTCTCTAAGGTTAGTCTGTCTATACCTCGCTGTATACTGTCCGTTAGGGTAGTCTGTCAGTACATAGTTTTTATATCTAACATTCCATGACATACAGTATTAGTAGTTTACCTGTTTACAGAGCACTGTCACCAGTGAGATGGCTCATCGTGGCCGATCACTGTTCTCATCATACTGTAGATACCTAATTCCCACTCTTGTGACTGTCTTTGTCTCTCCATCTCTGTTTCTGTTTTCCGTAAATGTCTGCCTGCATCTGGCAAGTCTCTCTTTATGTATCTCTCTCTGGTCATAGCTCTGATTTTTCCTTTCTGCTGGTGTCTATCTCCGGCCCACAGCATTACATCCTACTCCATGACATGGTGTCTGCTCACAACGTGATCCGATGCTCCGTCTACAGGGGGGATCAAGGTACGGCGTCTTGCAGAGCCGCTTCCGAAGGACGCTTCACCTTAGCACTAATATCCACAGGGATGCTTTTCTAACCTCTGGTCTTAGAGACCCACTGCAGTAACTAACTTCTGTTACACCTGAATACTTTATTATATTTATCTATATGTAATTAATTGGGCTGTGGTAGCACAGGGGCTCAATGGGTGGCGCTATGGATGCCGATCAGATCAATCCAGTTACTCCAGTTTTCACCCACAGCCCAAAAGCATGCAGTTACTGGATCAGTGGTTAGGGAAGATGGCTGGCCATGCACAGTATATTGGGTGTTGACATGTTCATAACAAAACTATACAAAGATAAATGCTGTGAAATACTTTTGAAAAATTTATGCATAGGTAGTTCTTGACTTTACGAGCGAATTCGTTCCAAATTATCGCTCGTTAATCAAGAACTCGTAAAGCAGGAGGTATTTTCCCATAGAAATGTCATAAAAATTATGACTTTGGTTCCTGCCAAAAAAATTTAATCATAATTTTTTGCGAAATAAACAAAGGAAACTCAAACGTATTATTATAATTAACGTTTAATCCAAAATATACGCTCGTTTAAACAAAAAAAATTCTTGGAGCAAAACAAAAAACAATTTGCTAAAATTATAACATTCACAGTCAATTTTGGTCACTGATTTTCAGCACCTAGGGTGTTTTTTTCATGTATTCCACCCTGAGCTGGTGAAGATCACTCACACAGTACAGAAAGCGAACCTGGTGTGTTAGCAAGATCAGGTTGGGTCGTGAAACTAAGTGATACAAATCGAGCATGCAGAGTCAGATACTTCATAAAGCAAAATTATCTAATAACTGTCCGATAATATTTTAAGGCAGCACGCATTGAGTTACTTGCATATTTTTTTTAAAAATCCATTTTTATTTTTGCTGCAAAAAATTCTCATAAAGATATAAACTTGTAAATCGAGAGCTTGGAAAGTGAGAATAACCTGTACTGAAGGAAAATTATGAACTAATACATGGGTTTTGTTACTGTTGGAGAAAATACTGTGTTAAAGTCATTTAAAGAAGTTAATCCACATCAGTCAAGATGAGTTAGATTAGCTCATTGACCTTTGTTTCGCAATCTGACATGAGTTGCATTTCAATGAAAATCTTAATTTAAAAAGTTTGCTTTCTTCTGTATGTCCATTTGCTAATGTAGAGGTGGAGGAGATCCTGTCCACTGACCTAGTGCCTGGTGATGTCATCATCATTCCATCCAATGGCATGATGATGCCCTGTGATGCAGCTCTGATAGGTGGGACCTGCATTGTTAATGAAAGCATGCTGACAGGTGAGGTGATGGACAGCTGCATCCGGCCAGTACAATATCTCAGTCACAGTGTTAAGTAAAAAATAATGGACTGAACACTCAATCCCAAAGGGGAAAGTGTTCCTGTGACCAAGACCCAACTGCCGCTGCCCCCTAGTGGTGGTGACGATGACAGGCTGCAGGAACCCGCGTATGATCCAGAGGAACACCGAAGACACACACTTTTCTGTGGCACGCAGGTCATCCAAACCCGCTACTACAGTGGGGAGAGCGTCAAAGCTGTGGTTGTCCGCACAGGTATGTGTGTGTGTGTGTGTGTGTGTGTGTGTGTGTGTGTGTGTGGTCTTGTATTTATTACATTGTAATGATCAAATGTGCCCACAATGTGATAAAAACCTGTCATTTTGATGTTGTGGAGACATTTTTTTGGTTTTATAAAAATCGGTGAATACAATCAAAAACTAAAAAGGCCGGAAGACTTGTATTTTGGGATTTGGTTAAGGCTGGGTGGGGGTTAAGGTTGTCATAGTTGAATTAGGGTTATGCTCATAGAAATGAATGTAGAGTCCCCATAAAGGTATAGATACCTTATCTTTGTGTGTGTGGATTGGGGACCACATGTCCCCCACAGACCTGTTATTCTGATGTTGTGGGAACCATTTTTCAGGTCCCCACAAAGGTCTGAGCATGCAATCAAAAAACTACAAATGCCAAAAGTCGTGTACAGTGGTACCTCAGTTCTCAAACTCATTAGAACTTGAATTTCTTAAAAGTCGAACCAACCAGTTTGAAAAAAAATTACCTAAAGCTCGATCTGAATCTCAGAAGTCAAACCGTGAACGCCTAAGATAACTTGTATCGTGGGGAAATGAGTCACGTGGCACATCTCTCAGCAGAAACAAACGATAACGCTTCAGTCTCAGCCTCACATTCGCTGTGATAGCATTGTGCATGTTTAAACTAGCTGAATACATATATTTAGACAGTAAAAATACATTTAGACAGTAACAGTAATTATATAATAAAATACATTTAAAAATAAAGATTTCTTATTAATTATTGTAATATTAATAATAAACCATTAATACGTTTAATTATAATAATATTGTTGTGCCAAGCGGGGATGGAACGGAGACAAAGGCGCAGACGTCAGGGTATCGGGGAATACAGGGTTTAATTACAGGTAAGGCAGGCAAAACGCAGACGAACAATACAATGACCAGACTGGGGAAACAAACTGAAACGCGGACGAAATACAGAGGGTTAATGAAAACCAGAAACGGCTGATCACACAGGGAATCCACACGGGGTTAACGAGGGGGCGTGGCACACGGCAGAGGCGGACGATCGGGGCTGGGCACATTTTTTTGATACATTAATTTTCTTACTTTACAAATTACTGTTTTGATAAATGTGCTTTGATGCGTTTAGTACAGTATATGCTCTTGTTTTATCTGGTTCATTTTGTGTTTAAATGCTAAAAAAAAACATATTTAGGTGTAATTTTTTGAGGCTGGGAACCAATTAATTGGTTTTCCATTATTTCTTATGGGGAAAATTTGATCACAACTCAAACTTTTTAGGATTTGATCTGGAGTTCTGAACGGATTCAATTTGAGTTCTGAGGTACCACTGTATTTTGTTTGGTTGCTTATGGTTAAGCTTAGGGCTAGGTAGAGCTTAAGGTCGTCATGTTGGGATTAGAGTTTTCCCCATAGAAATGAATGGAGAGTCCTCACAAAGATATAATTACAAACTTGTGCTCTCATCTGCTTTGTTAATTTGGTTTAAAGATTGTTCATTATAGCAGGTTGAGTCAGTGGGAAACACCATCAAACAGCATTTAGGGTGTGAACCAGGCATGTGTCAGTATGAGTCTGGATATGGCCCCATCCCTCCAGCGGGTGATGGAGTTTCTGCTCCCCCACTTTCCACGCACCAGGCTTCTCCACGGTGAAGGGCCAGCTGGTGAGGTCCATTCTATACCCCAAGCCATCCAACTTCCAGCTGTACAGAGACGCTGTACGCTTCCTGCTGGGCTTGGTGTGTGTGGCAGCTGTGGGAGTGGCCTATTCCATCTACACCAGTGCCTCCCAGGGGGTGAGTGAGGCAGGGGGTGTGGCCTATTCCATCTACACCAGTGCCTCCCAGGGGGTGAGTGAGGCAGGGGGTGTGGCCTATTCCATCTACATCAGTGCCTCCCCGGGGGTGAGTGAGGCAGGGGGTGTGGCCTATTCCATCTACACCAGTACCTTTCAGGGGGGTGAGTGAGGCAGGCGGCGTGGTCTATGCCATCTACACCAGTGCCTTCCAGGGGGGTTGTGAGGCAGGGGGTGTGGTCTATGCCATCTACACCAGTGCCTTCCAGGGGATTTGTGAGGCAGGGGGTGTGGCCTATTCCATCTACACCAGTGCCTTCCAGGGGGTAAGTGAGGCAGGGGGTGTGGCCTATTCCATCTACACCAGTGCCTTGCAGGGGGTGAAAATTTCCTCCACCTGCACTGCCATTACTAACTGGGAGCCTGTCTCTTCTCTCCTTGTACCAGGAGTCAGTGGGGCGCATTGTGCTGGAGGCCCTGGACATTATAACCATCACAGTGCCACCCGCCCTGCCCGCCGCAATGACTGCTGGCATCGTCTACGCCCAGCACCGTCTCCGGAGGACAGGCATATTTTGCACCAGCCCCCATCGGATCAACACCTGTGGCCAGGTCAACCTGGTGTGCTTTGACAAGGTGCGACTGGCGGATTCCAGCTGGCCCAAGCCTCTGAAAGTCATTTAATGTGTATCTGACTTTCATGGATGAATGCAGGGGAATCGGAGGCTGTTTTACACCGAAATGTGGAGAATGTCTAGGCAGGTCTGAGTACGTCCTTTGGGTTGCTAATTTATGAATGATTTATTTACTGGTGCAGGCACTGTGTTAAATAGATACTTCTCAGAACACCCTTAAAACATTTAAGGTTGGCTTGACCTTATTTTTCAACTTCGACATTGGCGGCATAATGTATTACGAGTTTCGATGTCAGTAATTAAAACAAAGATCACTGCGGGTAAGGGAAGATCCAGATGGCCGACTTTATCTCTTCATACAGACAAAGGCTGTCCCCTGGATGGCGGAGACTCCTACCTCTGAGATGGGAAGGTGTTCACTTAACAGATTTGGGACAAACTATGGTGTCATTGCTTAATTACTGACTTGGAACGGCAGAAATGAATCCCTCTGATTTTACTCGTGAGAGCAGCATCCTGTTAAATGTTCATTTTACTGACCAATCTGAAAATCCCCGTAGTCAGCTTTAGTATAATAGCCTCCCTGTGAAAAATTTATACTAACCATAGCCCAATAGAAGGAGAGCTCTTTGTATTAATATACAAAGACGGATATTTGATTTCTTCTGTTCATTACCTTGAACAGCGTAATTTAGGGACATTTAATAGATATATAGCCTGTAAAGGGGGGGTTTTCTGTCTGCTTGTGACCCTTGTGCTTGCTGAAGGGTGTGGACGCTCTTGATTAAGCTGCTTGTGACCCTCGTGCTTGCTGAAGGGTGTGGACGCTCTTGATTAAGCTGCTTGTGACCCTCGTGTTTCCTGAAGGGCGTGGACGCTCTTGATTAAGCTGCTTGTGGGCTGTTCCTCATCACCACATCTGTGTCTGTAGACCGGAACCCTGACTGAAGACGGCCTTGATCTGTGGGGCATTCAGAGAGTCGAGGACAGCAGGTGTGTAGCCCTTCAGTGTATGTGGTCACACAGTCTGTATACGTGGCCGCTTGTCCATTGGCGTCATCCTGAGCGTCTTCTGCAGGTTCACTCCTCCAGAGCAGGAGATGGCGGAGGATGTCCAGGCCCCCTCCCACTTTCTGGTAGCCATGGCGTCCTGTCACTCCCTGACCCGAATCGAAGGCCGGCTCGCTGGAGACCCTCTTGACATCAAGATGTTTGAGGCCACCGGCTGGGTGAGGCAATGAAGAAGGGTAATCCGTTATATGTGCGGCTTTGTGAGAGTTGTCCTAGGGATTATCTGTGACCTTGGGGACACACTAAATCATGGGGTCAGACTTGGACATGTCTATGTTTCAGGATTATGTCTCAGTTTGTCCCTCATGTCATTGTGCCCCTGTTTCTCAGTGTGCCCCCCATGTCTCTGCCTGTCTGTATTATTTGTACTCCTCTTGGACAGAGACCTTGCAGCGTCTTGCCAAATGCACCCCGGCCAATTCAGAATGTGATTTTAAAGTGAGAAGATAATTGCATTGCAGGAAACTGGGACCTAGACCAAAAGGTTACTGGTTCAAGACCAATGAACAACCATCCAGAGTAATCATGGGCAAGACTCCAGAGCTGAAATACTCCATGCGAAACATCCAGCCATATCAACGGCACTATGTAAAATCGTTAGCTGTCTGAATTGTTATGGATAGAAGCAACTTGCTAAGCAACTTATTAAATATGTATGAAGGCTGCGATTCACAGAGCTTCTCCCCCCACATGTACGAATCAGGCCATATAAATGTCATAATCGTGTTTGCACGTCCCCCTCAGGACCTAGAGGAGCCCAGTCCTGACGAGACCTCCAACCACGACCTCATCATGCCCACGGTGGTACGACCTGCCAAGCCGCCCCCTGGGAGAAGCCCCCCCTGCCAGGAGATCGATCAGGTGGGGCAGTTCATTGGGGCCGTGCCGTGACATCAGCACGTTTGTAACGTTTTGTAAGAATGTTAATTAATGTGTGTTTTTATTTTTAAATAATTCCATAAAAGATATTATATTTTCATAATAAAGTTTGTCTTCTACATATAATCTTTAAATTGTATGTCGTAATAATTTTGTGATTTTCATTAGACAGTCATTATTATACAATTTTATTTCACATAATACAAATGTGATTACTTAAATAATTCAAACTATATTTCACAATAAAGTTAAACTTTTTATGTTGTAGGCATGCATTTTTATACCATGTCAACACAGTACTTAGGATAATGCTTTTTTATTCAAGGGCACAGGGTTCTGTCTGTAATGCATTATGTTGGTTGCCATATGATAATATTTCGGCATTTAATCGTAACCAGTGAAGCTCAAAATTTGTTATTTCAAAGAAGTTCATTGTTTTCTCTGATATGCTGAATTATACATTCGCCTTGGAGCAACTGAAGTAAAAGAAGTAAAGTACTCAGGGCCAGAGTGGGTGTTCAGGCACCGGTCAGGCCAATATAAAACTATATAAACAATTGCACCATTATTGCAATGTCTCTTATCACATTAACCCACAAAAGATATCTTCCCCAAATTTGCATGGAACATTAATGATGCACTTTGACAACATTTCCATGTAAGTAGGTCAAGACGGCTTCCCAGTAGAGTCAAACTTACTGTTATTCACACTGCACTTTACCTCACAGTGGCCCATCCTGCACTGACATACATTCTGACGTAAATTATACAATATGTCGAACATCACTTGTGCGTTTGAGTACCTACGCATTTCTGCTCACACGGAGACATTAGTTGAGTAGGTGGTCCTTCAGTGCAGCCCGGGACACATTCATGTTCACACTGCTATAAGAATGTGGCCATAGCGTCCCAGACCAGGTGCGATTGTGGTCTGAGCGATCTGATCTCAATGCGTTTTCAATGCGTTTTGGGTGCATTCACACCCGTGATTAGCGCTGCCCACTTGTGATCGGATCCTAGATGCATGTTAATGGGTGCAGGTATGAACAGGGCCTAAGAGCCACATGTAAGTACACGTGTGTATTCAGGGTGTAACTTCGGGTTGAACACTGGGGAGGTTGGGGTCTCCACCCATTTAGGGAGAGTTAGGGGGTTGTATTGGCTGGCATTAAATATTGGGGTGGATTATATATATATATATATATATATATATATATATATATATATATATATATATATATATATATGATTGTATTTTTGGTGGAAATGTAATAGTCTGACTTTGTTCCCACAGGATATCAGAGAACTTATGGTAAGTGAGCACTTAGATAGATAGATTGTCTGATCTATCTATCTTATCTGTCTGTCTGTCTGTCTGTCTAATCATTTTTATATTTACAAATATTTGCAAATTGTGTGCTCTCCCCCTCCCACCCTCCAGGGGCGCTATGAAGTCGGGGTGCTGGCCCAGTTCCCTTTCTCTTCCACTCTGCAGCGCATGAGTGTGGTGACCCGTGTGCTTGGGGAGCGCAGGCTGCAGGCCTACCTCAAGGGGGCACCGGAGACTGTGGTCAGTCTTTGCCAACCAGACACAGGTCATTTCTAGTTTCCTTTCCTTCGAATATAAGTGAACGGAGTATGCTTCCATTTGACTGCTGCCTGACTTCCTGTTGACTCATATCTGACTTCCTGTTGACTCATATCTGACTTCCTGTTGACTCATATCTGACTTCCTGTTGACTCATATCTGACTTCCTGTTCACTGGCATACAGCTTACTGTTGACCACCATCTGACCTCTTGTCTGACAGTGCCCCCGGATTTCTGGGAGGTGCTGGACAGTTACACTCGCCAGGGCCTGAGGGTGATTGCACTGGCACACCGGCAGCTCGAACCCAAGTTCACATGGCATCGTCTACATATAACCAACAGGTCCTTGCTTTTTTTCTACTCTGCCTTCCTTTCCTTAAACACATGATAATCTCTCCCTCTTTGGTCTGACTGTCTTTCTTTCTTCGGTGTTATATTCTCCTGTCTGGCACATTCACTCTGCCCTCTGCCAAACTTCTCTCCCTCTCTCTCTCCCTTCCCCCGCGCCTCCTCCTCCTACCTTCCTCCGTCTCACGCTTTCTTTCTCCTTCACTGCTCTCCGTGACCCTCCCTGCACCATCTCACCCATAGGGAGGCCATTGAGTGCGAGATGAAATTTCTGGGTCTACTGATGCTGCAGAACAAGCTGAAACCGCAGACGGTGCCGGTGCTGGCGGAGCTCCACCAGGCCCACATCCGCACCATCATGGTGACAGGTCAGTGTGCTGTACATCAGCGCCCACTATTGGTGCATCACGGAACAGGTTTTAAATGTGAGTCATTATGATTCACTGAAATTTGCCTGTATTGTTTATATAGCATGTGTGGTATTTATCTGCTAGTCGGCCTCTTACACAGTACAGGGTCACGATGAACCTGGAGCCTGCCCCAGATACCATAAGGCACTAGGCAGAGCTACATACTGGGCAAGATTATAGTCCATCACAGCTGTATATCTAAACTATGGGTACTAACACCATTCTACCAAAACACATGCTTGGAGAAAGCACCAGGTGAATGTGTAAATTCCACTTAAACAGAGCAGCAGTAAGATTCGAACCCCCAACTCTAGGGTGTGAGGCAACAGTGCTACACACTCAGCAACTGTGCAGATTGTGTCAGCTGGTCTGTTTTTTATTATTTGTGTATGATTGTTTGTGTCACTGGATGGTGACCTTGGTCGGCGCAGTGACTGTGGCAGTTTCTCTACGAGGGACAGCGTGCCGACCGCGTTTTTTCCCCACAGGGGACAGCATGCTGACTGCAGTCTCCGTGGCGAGGGAATGTGGTCTGATCCCACCTCACACCCAGGTGATCATCACAGAGGCCCAGCCCTCCCATGAGGGGCAGCCCGCCACCGTGTCCTGGAGCTACAGCCAGGACAGTCCCTACCCCATGCTCCCCCCCGGAGAGACGCAGGTCAGTCTGGGCACGCAGCAGAATCCTCCCCGGACCAGCTACCATTTTGCCATGAGTGGCCGAACCTTTGCCATCATCCTCGAACACTTCTCAGAGCTGCTGCCCAAGGTGAGGCCTGCATACTCAGTACCATGGGCTGCATACTGAGTACTGTAATATCCATTCTCAGTACCATGATTTCCATACTGTGTAACACAGGCTCCATACTGAATTTTGTGATCTTCACACCATTTACTGTTATCTCCATACTAGACGCCTTTGGTTCCATACTAACTACCATGATCTGGCACCATACTTAATGCCAAGATCTCCGTACTAGACATCTTTAGTTCCATACTGAGTACTTCAATCTGCAAATACCATACTTTATGTACTGAATCCCACGACTTCCATACCAGACATCATGACCTCCATATTGAGTACCATGATAAATGAGTGTTTGTGTGTCTACCCCCCCCCCCAACCCCCAACGCACGCTGCAGTTGCTGCTCTGTGGGACGGTGTATGCCAGGATGGCCCCTGACCAGAAGACACAGCTGGTGGAAGAGCTGCAGAAAGTGGAGTTCAGTGGCTGTAACTCACACACTGACACACACACCTCTAGTAACACTTGAATACTCGGTTGCAAAGTTCTGGGAATTTTCCAATATATTCCCATTAACTCCCCTGGAAAGTTTCCAACTTGGAATATTTCCAAAATTCCCCAGCCTAACTTCCCATGGAATGGAAAGTTTCCGGAAATTTTCCGCCCCTTTGCAACCCTAGTGCTCATTCCAGATACAGAGTAAAGGAAAAAGCAGCCAACCACTTAGTACAGGGTCACTGGGGGGCTTGGAGCTTATTAAAGGGCAAGGCTGGGGGCAACCCTGGACAGGACGCCAGCTCAACACGGAGCACGAACACTCACACTGTGTGCAATTTAGAAATAGCAGTTCATCTAGCCGCATGCCTTTGGACTGCGATTCGAAAGCCCATGCCAGTAGGTGTGAGGTGGCATGTTACCCACTGAGCCGCGGTGCCATCCTCTCCCAGGCACTATGAAATGCCAGAATGCCGTGTACCAGCATGCGGATGCTGGCTGCTTAAGCACAGATACAGGTGTCAGTCGCCCTGGGAGCCTCCCACACTCACACTGTTACCTTAAGGTCCTGATACGCACTGCTAATGCTGGCTACTCTCACCCACAGCTATTATGTGGCCATGTGTGGAGATGGGGCCAATGATTGTGGGGTAAGATATGAAGCCGCTCTGAGTGTGATTGATGTGGCCTGTTGGTAATGTGATCCACCGTGTGTGTGTGTGTGTGTGAGAGAGAGAGAGAGCCTGTGTTAAAGTGGCCTTTCCTCTGCAGGCTCTGAAGAGGGCACACGCCGGCATCTCCCTGTCGGAGCTGGAGGCCTCTGTGGCGTCCCCCTTCACCTCTCGTACCCCGGACATCTCCTGCGTGCCGCACCTGATCAGGTCAGTTCCCTCCTCCCAATCGCTCTGTCGGCAGTCGCTGTCAAAGGTGACGGTCCGCCTCTCTATCGCCCCCACCAGGGAGGGCAGGGCAGCCCTGGTCACCTCCTTCTGCGTCTTCAAATTCATGGCGCTCTATAGCATCATCCAGTACCTCTGTGTGCTGCTGCTCTACTCGGTGAGTCGCATAGGAGTGTGTGTGCACACACATGCACACGCACACATACACACACGCACACACATGCATGCCCTAACCCTCACATGTGCAGAGGTCAGCCTTCCCGTCACTGCAGGCTCTCCTTGTTTTATGACTCCCTAACTGCTGATCACAAAAACCAAAACCATGTGACAATTATTCGTTTTTTATATAAACTGGCATGATGTTCCTCATTTTTGATATTAGACTACATTCATTGCATTAATGCAGAAGATGAATGAAAATGTCGAATCCCATATCTGGCATCAAATTTGTGACCCCACCCAAGGTAACAATAACTGAACTGATAACAATTACTAAAATCTGTAGTTTAAAAAGTTGAAATGGCTTTCAGTCCCAAAGCAGGCAGTAACTGAAATGCATTTTACAACTTTTACATGGAACTCAGGAGTTTACAGATGTCCTCCTCACCAAATATGAAACTATTTCAACACAGCGTCTGTGCTGTGTCCACAGATACATCCATTAGTTAAATTAACTAACCCACTTTTTTTTTTTTTTTTTTTTACAGATCCTCAGTAACATGGGAGATTCCCAGTACCTGTTCATCGACATTGCCATCATAATGTCTTTGGCGTTCACCAGTAAGTCATCCGCGCTGAGGGGGACATGTTACACACACCCATTTTATTATCGTGTCATTTGTAAGCATGCATGAGCACAGTCGTGTGTGTAAGCCCCACATGGCTACCATGAAAGATTTTCTCCAGGGATACTATACAAACTGTGACTTAAATAAAGATGAGTTAAAGAATATATAAAACTCACCAGTCACATCTCTGACGATCAGTCATGCATCCAGCATACAAAAAAATGAAATATTTAGAATAAAAAATATATACAAAACATACATCTGTATTTCCAGGAATTATTTTTTTCTCTCCTTCACCATGATCCTCATCCCCGCTCTCTCTCCATCTCTGTCCGTCTGTCTTTCTCTCTCTCTTTTTGTCCCCATCTCTCTCTCTCTCTCTCTCTCTCTCTCTGTTTTTGTCCCTCTCTCTCTCTTTGTCCCCATCTCCCTCTCTCTCTTTCCCTCTCTGTTTTGGTCCCTGTCTATCTACATCCCAGTGAGCCTTAGCCCAGCCTGGAAACAACTGGTGGCCCAGCACCCCCCATCCACGCTATTGGCCCCCCCTCTTCTGCTCTCGGTGGTGGGGCAGATCCTGCTGGCTCTCTCCTTCCAGACTGCCACCTTCCTGCTGGCCGATATATAGTAAGAGGAGGAGGGGGGGGGAGATGAAGGGAGATGTAAAGGAAGAGTGGTGGTAAAAAAAAATGGAACAAAGGGGTTAAAAAACAGAAAAACAGTAGAAACAAATGTATATCTTCCAGCTTTATGGAGAGTGATGATAGAGCAAGATGTACATTTGTGTGGGATATATTCGTTTATTGTATAATGTCAATGTCACCTTGAAGCACCATTTGACTTCTTAATACAGTGCGCAGAATGAGACCCAGCCTTCTGATTGGCTGGTTGGGAACACGACAGGGATGACAACCAATGGGAGTAGACCAGTATCTGACAAAGATGAGAAGGATTCCGACAACATTGAGAACCTGCAGAACACCAGCCTGTTCTTTGTGTCGGGCTGCCAGTACCTCACCGTCGCCCTGGTCTTTAACCGAGGACCCCCCTTCCGACAGCCCCTCTACACTAACTGTGAGCTCCACACTGCCGTAGCCCTATCGTTAAATATAATTCATACTTTTTCCCTGTTGTGTTTATAGCAATGTAATTCGTAAAAGTGAACGTCACTGAAATACTCTCAGAAGTTGAATGTTCAGTTTGAGTCTACAGCTGATGAAAGAAAGAAAAATTACTCAGGGGGTGAAAAGTATTTTGAAACCCATGTTGGGTGGGATTATCATGCAGCCAATCATTGGGTGGTTTAGCTGACTTCTGATTGGTGCTTTGGTTGCCACTTAGTTAAATCAGACAGTGATTGGACAGTGCACTGTAATCCCACTCACTGTCGGTTTTCCATCTCTGAAATATTTCTTTCACAGTGACAATTGTAATATTAAAATGACCTTTGAAGTAAGATTTTGCCACTGTTCTTTTAGAGTATTCGTACAAGCCAGGAGAACTGAATGTCCTCTGGTTCGTTGTATAACTGATGTTCATCCTGTTCCATAGTGTGGATTATTGTATCTCTCACTGCCGTGCGCACAGATCTCTTCATGCTGTGTATCGTATTCTGCTACGGTTTCCTGATTGTCAATCTACTGCACCCTGTACCAGCCCTGCAGGACTTCTTCCAGGTGAGTGTGTGTGTCTGTGTGTATGTTCGTTCAATCTATACTTAAAAAAATAGCACCAACTGACTGACTATCTGTCTCCCAGCTGGTGTTCATACCCATGGAATGGCGTGTAACTCTGCTGGGACTCATCATAGCCAATCTGATCCTGGCTTTTACACTAGAGGTGGGAAATGACTGTGAAAATGAGTACTTTAAAGTGTACAATATGGTCAAATTCATCCTTTTCTCCTCTCTCTTGGAACCGTAGAGTTTCATTACAGATTTCAAAGACCTGTGGAATAGATCGTTCGCTAGGCAGAAGCTAGATGAGCCACACCCTGATTCCCTCTGCCCGCAGGTAGTCGAACATGTCATAGCACTCCTATGGAGAGGTCACCAGCTAATGCTCTTAGCAGGCCTATGAAGACAGCTTAGCAGCTAACATTCATAGCACACCTATGAACACCTCACCAGCTAACATTCATAACAGACCTATGAACAGATGTAGCATTCCAAGCAGCCAAAAAGAGAAGGAATAATGCTTAAAACACACCTGAAGGCACACTCCTAGAAAATGTTGCATGTGGCTTGTTTCGGGGGTTACAGCTAACGTAATTTGCTGTTCACCTCGTCATTATGATTAGCATTTATGGAAGTCTTTGCCAGCATCCTTCTAGCAGGTGGCCCTGTTTGCAGCCCTCCCTAGGAACTGCTGCTCTCACGTCGGCCACCTGCATTCTTTGTTTTTCACATCAGATGGAAGTGGATGGAATCCCGTCGCCCAGCCGTGCTTGCTGTTGCCACAGCTCCGAGCCTCCCCGAGCCCGGTACCAGCGCCTCGCCCAGCAGCTGCTGCTGGATCCTGACTGGCCGCCCCCGCCGAGCACCAAAGCAAAGCCCCCCACCCGCGTCGACAGTGGTGCAGTACAGGGCCTGGTGCCCCAGACCACACCCCTTTGAGTAACCATGTTGTTCATGGAGGTAACAAACATCCTCAGGAGAGGAGGATCTCGACCTGGTCCAGGTCCTGGTCTGAACCTTTCCATGTTAATCACCACCCATCTCAAATATGTCAGTTTTGATGGCCTGTGTGGTAAATTCCTTAATATATTTGGTATGTGGAAGGACTCCCTTGTGACTCACATGCTACCTGAAGCATGTCTGATCCCAGTACACAAATTACATCCACAATTTCACTGTTGTCTTTGTCATATCGTGTAGGATATGAGACCAAATGATGAGTGAATCTCTGACCTTTTTGATCACAATTAGAAGTCATCAAACTGTGAAATGTTTAAATTTATTACATGTAAGTGAGGGGCAATATTTGTGATAGTGTCCTAATTAACAGATGGGCTAGTTATCTATAATAACTGTAAGATTATGACCAAATGTCTGAATTGTGCCTCTGCACATCTTTATGCAGAGTTTAGCTACCAGTAAGGAGATGTTTTGCTTTGACCAAACCTGTGCCAAATTTTCAAAGTCACGAAAAGTTAAAAGCGATGTGCAAAAAGCCCTCTTTAAAAAAGTGATTTCCTTGAGTGTTAAGGGCAAATGAAGACCACACCACAACATTTTATAACAGTAAATGGATTATATGTGTACAAGGCCTTCAAGAAAGGTCAGGAAAGAAAACAATAATTTTATATTTCCATTAATTTATTTATTTATTTAAACAAAAAGGAGCAGACTGTATTATTCTTCAAACAACTTTAAACTTTTGATCTGCATTTCTGTTGAACAGACGTGCAAGTAAATACTGTACCTGATTACTGTTCAAGGGATTTTATTTAAGCATGTATGTATATTTTGCAGAGAATGACATATGTAATAAACCTATGTGTGTATATAAGGAACACGAAGAACAGCATCAATAAATTTATAATCTATGAATCAACATATCAGTATTGTATTTATGTTTCATTTCTTATATTCTTTTTGACTGCACCAAAATGAATCGGTAACTTAGGGTCACGTTCACTTAACGTGTCAATATTACATGTACACTGCATTTTTACATAATTTTCCTTTTATCTCACAGAGCTATACTGTGATTTACATGCAGCAAACATACAGTATAAACTATTATTCTGAAATGTGACCAGACATCAATGTGGATTTATTCTTTCGTAGAAATTCCAATAGTATTTTCAATTAGGTTACTGGTCTGCATTTCTCACTTTGAAACACTATCTCTGTTTCACCAGTATATTTGTCCATGAGTAATCCAGGATAATAGATTATGAGTACATTGTAATTAAGGGTCCAAAGCACGTAGTGCTATGGCACCTTATTGTTTTTGTTAGGATTTTTTTCTTTTTTTTTTTCTTCCCTAAAACTGAATGCCCAGTCTAAAGCGTAAGACCTAGGCTTACCAAATTTGGCAGCAAGATGTCAATTCCTACCCACTACTCTGGCCCTCCGACCCATCCCAGTCAGTCAGATGGGGGCGCTGTAGCACCCCCCTAAGCATTTTGGTCGATATCTCCTGACCCGTTGGTCCTACACTCAAAATTCTTTTCCCCCCAGATACACAGCCATGTCCTACCAACTTGCCATTTGAACTATGAAACTATGCCTACTTAGATTTTTTGCTAATTTTGCATAATTTGCAAATCCTAATTAAGCCTTAAAGTCCAAGCTTGTCCTACCAAATCAGACAAATAAGGTGTCAAACGAATTAGAACTCTAAGCTGATCAAGAATTCTGAAAAAAATTCGGACATTTGTGTATCCTACGGCCATTAGCCACGCCCAAACAATGCCCAAATTTGGCCCATTTTGGTCTGACTGCTATAACTTGGCCGTGCCTTGGCCTACCTCGACCAAATTTGAAATGCTATCTCCCTACACCATTCTGGGGACACGGTCCAAGGCGGGCCACATTTCATCCATAGGGGGCACTACAACTAAAAACTGCCAATATCTCCTGACTGCCTTGGCCAATCCAACTGAAATTTGCCAGATATGTACTAGGCCCCAGCCTGAGGTCAGACACATACAATGGCAGTCATAAGTCCTACAAGAGTGGCCGCCATCAGTCAATCAAAATCAACCAGCCATTTGGCAGGCTTATCAATGACCAATCCAAACTTAATATGGATGGTATATTTGTCCTCTGACCCTCAGCCATCCCTGTAAAGGACACCTCACTCGGCCAGATGGGGGTGCTACAGCGCCCCCATTTGCATTTCTGCCTATTTCTCCAGAACTGCTAAGCCTACAGTTGAAATTTATTGCCAGTCCAATTCACTATGACATGACAAATCCAACAACATATAGAACTTGGTTCTCCATCTTTGTGTTTTTGCATGATTTATATTTGTCTAAAAACAGGTTACTTTGTTAACCTCCTAGGATTTTCGCCCAACCTACATAAGTCTGGTGTCATTCAAATCAGGAGACAGTCAAGATTTAGAAAAAAAACTTAAAGTTTCGGTAAGGTATGGCCACCAGCCACACCCTGAATGTACTGGTGCCTCGCCCATTTCAATCAGACAGCTATATCTCAGGCACGGTTCAGCCAATCATTACCAAATTTCTGTCACTAATGAATGGCTGTACCCCAGAGAGACCCTCCAAATTTTATGTCAATAGGTTAACTGGGAATGCTATAGCCACTGTCCATATATGTCTATGGCCTCCATAGTCTAATTCAGCTATAATGAGTTACCTGATCAGGTAGGAAGGTGTCTACCGATCTCACCCACTTTACCAACAACAGCGGGTGGCTCAGTGGGCTAAGCCTGTGTGTCTGTAATCAGAGGGTCATCGGTTCGAATCCAGCTTCGGTGGGTACTTGAGCTAGGTAGCCCGATGAGCACAGCGTGTCTCTATTGACCTGTTACGCCTACACTAAAAGCATCTCCATCCTACTATTCGGACCATCTCACCCAAACCAGTCCTACTGTCCCGTTCGACCTATGCTCAGTCTAATTCAGTCTGACTTTCTACTACCATGTCCGCCGGTTCTCTATTACCTGTCCGATCGTCCTACGCTTTTATAATTATTTTTATTTGCTCGATTTTCTGATGCGTATGTAGATTGATTCTATGTAACGGCATAAAAGAATGTACTGTTAAATTACGGTAAATATTCGTTCATCAGGCCTAAATGTTCCGTCAATTCGCACACTCGGTGGTTGACTCGTCATGCCTTGACGTCAGACACCGGAAGTGAAACCATAGAAATTACAAACCGTCATCGAAAAAAGATGGCGCATTCGGCAGAACCGGTGGAGGGAATTTTAAACTTTCGTAGGAGTCTAAACTATGAAAAATAACGGAATAAGAGATGCCTCTTACCAAGCCCACATACAGATGTGTTCATTTTATTAACTGAAATGGCGTGTAGTTCAGTAGGTAGATAGCAACAAGTTCAGGTAGTTTGATCAGACTACTGGTTATGATTTCACGGTGAGATTTGAAAGTTCACTTAGTCCATTGCTGGGTACCTGGGTCACGCCAAAATAATATATTTTATGTACTTTTCCGGTCTTTTATGTCCGTTTCTTTCACGGTCACGAAGATTAGGGGGAAACGACACGCCACCTGTATTGTGGAGTCAGCAGGTTTAGAAAGTATATTTCTAAAACAGAATTTGAGAAAGAAAGTAATTTGCTGTAGTATTGCGGTGAACACCGTCGAGCAATACTCCTGTTGTGTCCGCTTAGTGTCTACTGTGTAACTTGTTTTTCTTAATGTATTCTTCTCTGTACATTTGTAATGAGTCTTTGGGTTTAACACGCATGAGTTTTACTGTACTTAGTACACGTTACAGTAATTGAATGCTTTGAATGTCGCTATTTAATTGGTTATTTGGTTAAATTAATTAATTGCATAGCCAAGAGATACTTTTGAAATGATCGCTGTTAATTCTTGTATATTTTTGTAAGTGTTACATTGCATTGGTCGGCTGATAGTGATAATGATTAACTTGCAGGTTTTAGCGCTCCACGATGACCGAGAAGTTCAGTCCCATGGACGGTCCGGAAATGCCCCAGGCACCCCCTGTCCCGGCTGGCTGCAGTCGACTCACGACTCACCCCGACCTGGATCTGTCTGTCACCCTCACCCCGGAGAAGCCGAGTATTGAGGCTGGCATCCTGAAGCAGGGCAAACGAGGAGGCAGGCGGCCACAAAGGCAGGTAAGTCAGGCGGGAGAAACATTACCGTGTTATTAATTAGGGCTGCAAAATTCTTTTCAAATTCGGAAACTTTACATGTGAATTAACGGGAATATATGGGAATAAACTGGAAATTTGCAAAATTGCAGGTTAATCTATAATAGGGAACTTAAATGTAGTGGGAAAAAAAACATTTTGACGCCCTAATAATGATATTATTGTGTAACCAGGTGCTTGTGAGTACTTGTGTGCGTAAAAACACCCCAAAAATAAACACCTGTATCAAATCCCACTGCTTATTAGTCATATACTATGTCTTATTGTTCATACAGTTTGCTTTGTTTGCTGTACAGTCATTAACAAAAGTCTTGTCACATAAGGACATAGTAACTTAAAAAGGCATATAACTTTATTTCTAATCAATCAATTGTTACATTGAATGGATCAATTTAATGCCAAGGGCTTTCACATTAATAACTGTGTACAAAATGAAACAGTCAAAAAGTGTCCTGATGTTCACAGCTTGTTAAA